GTGTGTATATATATATAAAATATATATATATATATATTGTATGCAGTTGCAACACAAGTCATCTTGTAATTGGTATTAAAAATGACCTTTCCTTTTCAATCTGCAGCACTGTAATTTTCTGTAAAATACAATACAATATAGCAACCTGGAGGCACTCTGTACACAGATGGTGAGCACTCCCCCAGAAATATAATTTCCTGCTTGTGTGATTGGCACATGAAGTCATATTTTGGGCATCTCCTACAACAAAAATATTCTTTTTGGTGAGATACTCCCAAAGGGAAATCACGCCTGAAAGGATGCAGACCCTGCTACTTTCCTCATTAGAAGCCTGCAAGTGCAGCAATTGATGAGTATTTATAAAGTCACTCCCATTCCCATTCACTTTGCAGATGGACACAGACAAACAGCTATTTCTTCAGAATAACACAAGGTAGAAATCTGCAACAAAGTTTGTTATAATCCTGTTAGATCACCTAGAGGGGGATGATCTTTTCCTCAACAGAAGTGGAGTTTCAATTTAAAGAAATAATTTCTGAGCACCTCCTTTAAATACAGGAACCCCTGCTAACCTCACTTCTGAGGTTTTTAGTCTGCAAAAACTCTATTGTGTACCAGGAATGCTTAGCACAGGATTATCCAGAATACCCCGTCGAGATTCTAGTGAGACCATCTATTCTATCTGTGCTGAGACACAAGCTCCAAAATCGGTTTGCTTGATCCCTAGATGGGTGCAATGCAACTCCCACTAATATAAGAACTAGAATTTTATTGATCTTTTTTCCAGTATTTCCTATTTTTTGTACTCATTACTACACTTACATGGATCTCTCCCAGGGCAGTTTATCTATTTCTCTTTTCTCCTCTCCTGATTTTCTGGAGAACCTGCACAACAAAAATCTGACAGGGGCCTTAAAGTGAAACTAAACTTTTTCAATCAACATTAGCAATTTTTAATCCTTATGCTGCTAGCGTTAGTAACTAGATATTAAAGTATCTTATATTAACTTTTCTTACTTTTTTTTTTTTTTTGCATTTCTTCAGTTGCTTCCTGGTTTTTGGCCTGGGACAAAGTGATGTCATACATTCCATGAGTCTTCATGGGTTTTTTTTTTTTCTTTCATCTTGGGGAGGGGATTTTTCAGCTAAGCAAGCCCTCCTGCCTGCATGTCTGAACTAAGGGCAGATAGATTCCAGGAAGTAAATGCTACATGAATTGTCTACCCTTACTTAAGATGGCTGCAGCTAGAAATACTAGGGGGGGTGTTTTTCAAAGTGATTTCTCAGCAAAATGAAGAATGGAGACATGGGTGGATGAACGGAGTTTGCTGTGAATTTATACAAAAATTAAATTGCGTTTTTCCATTTGTTTACTCAAACTTTAATTCTTCCCTACTCTCTCCAAACTAAAAAATGTTTTGGTTTTACAAACACTTTAACCATATTGGGACTCCGGCCTTTACACACACATGAACTTTAATGACATCCCAGCCTTAGTCCGTAGGGTTCAATATTGAGTTGGCCCCGCCCTTTGCAGATATAACAGCTTCTGGGAAGGCTGTCCACAAAGTTTAGGAGGGTGTCTATGGGAAGGTTTGACCATTCTTCCAGAAGTATATTTGTGAGGTCAGGCATTGATGTTGGGGGAGGAGGCCTGGATCGCAGTCTCCACGCTAATTCATCCCAAAGGTTTTCTAACGGGTTGAGGTCGGGACTCTGTGCAGGCCAGTCAAGTTCCTCCACCCCAAACTGGCTCCTCCATGTCTTTATGGACCTTGCTTTGTGCACTGGTGCACAGTCATGTTGGAACAGGAAGGGGCCATCCCCAAACTGTTCCCACAAAGTTGAGAGCATGAAATTGTCCAAAATGTTTTGGTATGCTGACGCCTTAAGGGTTCCCTTCACTGGAACTAGGGGGCCAAGCCCAACCCCTGAAAAACAACCCCACACCATAATCCTCCCTCCACCAAACTTTACACTTGGCACAATGCAATCAGGCAAGTACCGTTCTCCTGGCAACCACTGAACCCAGACAGGTCCATCGGATTGCCAGACAGAGAAGCGTGATTGGTCACTCCAGAGAACAAGTCTCCACTGCACTAGAGTCCAGTGGTGGCGTGCTTTACACTACTACATCCAACGCTTTGCATTGCACTTGGTGATGTAAGGCTTGGATGCAGCTTCTCTGCCATGGAAACCCATTTAACACAGTGGCTAAATGGCTAGCACTTCCGCCTGGCAGTACTAGGGTCACTGGTTTGAATCCCAACAACAACACCACCTGCCTTTAGTTTGCATGCATGTCCTCCCTGTGCTTATGTGGGTTTCCTCCGGGTACTCCAGTTTCCTTCCACACTCCAAAGACATGCTGGTAGGTTAATTGGCTCCTGTCTAAATTGGCCCTAGTATCTGTCTGTATGTGAGTTAGGGACATTAGATTGTACGCCCCTTGAGGGTTATGGACTGATGTGAATGTACAATATATGTATGTAAAAGCACTGCATAAATTGACAGTGCTATATAAGTACCTGTAATAAATAATATAATAAACCCATTCCATGAAGCTCTCTACGCACTGTTGTTGTGCTAATCTGAAGGCCACACCAAGTTTGGAGGAATTTAGCTATTGACTCTGTTGGCGCACTGTGCGCTTCAGCATGCGCTAACCCCGCTCTGTCATTTTACGTGGCCTACCACTTGGTGGCTGAGTTGCTGTTGTTCCCAGTTGCTTCCACTTTGTTATAATACCACTAACAGCTGACCGTGGAATATTTAGTAGCCAGGAAATGAGAGCTCCTGAAAGCGACCCATCCTTTCACAATGTTTGTAGAAGCAGTCTGCATGCCTAGGGGCTTGAGTTTATCCACCTGTGGCCATGGAGGGGATTGGAACACCTGAATCCATTTATTTGGAGGACTGGCCCAATACTTTTGGCAATATAATGTGTGTGTATGTATATATATATATATATATATATATATATACATGCACACATCACCCCTACACTTAAAAAGCCCTCCCTGGACCCAATGACCCGAACAACCTCAGACCCATCTCCCTGCTCCCATTCACATCCAAACTCCTTGAGCGCCTAGTCTACACCCGCCTAAGCTCTCACCTCAATGACAACAACCTCCTCAATCCCCTACAGTCCGGCTTCCGTCCCCTACACTCCACCGAAACTGCCTTACTCAAACTCTCCAATGACCTGCCAACCGCCAAAGCTAATGGCCACTATTCAATGCTCCTACTCCTTGACCTCTCAGCGGCCTTCGACACAGTCGACCACCCCCTCCTCAAAAAAAAACTACACTCCCTCGGCCTCAGAGATTCTGCTCTCCTGGCTCTCATCCTACCTGTCACAACGCTCTTTTAGCGTTACCTATAATGCTACCACCTCCCCCTCACTCCCCCTCTCTGTTGGGGTCCCTCAAGGTTCCGTCCTCGGACCCCTTCTCTTCTCCATCTACAGCTTCTCCCTTGGCCAACTCTTACACTCTCACGGCTTCAACTACCACCTATATGCCACCGACGACACACAAATCTATCTCTCAACCCCCCACCTCACCCCTTCAGTCTCCGCCCGAATCACACACCTACTGAGCGACATATCAGACTGGATGTCGCTCCACTTCCTTAAACTGAACCTCTCCAAAACCGAGTTTCTTGTCTTTCCCCCAGCCCGGACCCCACCCCCCATTGACTTCTCCATCATGTCCAACAACGCCACCATCAAACCCGCCCCGCAGGCCAGAGTACTTGGTGTCATTCTGGGCTCCAACCTATCCTTCCAGCCCCAAGTCCAATCTTTAACAAAGTCATGCAGACTCCACCTCCGCAACATCGCCATAATACGCACGTTCCTAACCCCAGAAACCACTAAACAGCTCATCCACTCCCTCATCATATCACGTCTCGATTAGTGCAACTCCCTCCTTACTGGCCTGCCTCGCCGCTGGCTATCCCCGCTTCAGCCGATCCTGAATACGGCTTCCAGACTCATTTACCTTTCCAACCGCTCCGTTTCCACCACACCCCTCTGCCAATCCCTCCACTGGCTTCCGATTGCGCAACGGATCAAATTCAAAATCCTAACACTGACGTACAAAGCTGTCCACCATACTGCCCCGAACTACATCACCGACCTAATATCCAAGTACCACCCAACACGCACACTCCGCTCCTCACAAGACCTCCTTCTCTTTAGTTCCCTGGTCTCCTCCTCCCATGCCCGCCTCCAGGACTTCTCCAGGGTGTCACCCATCCTCTGGAACTCCCTGCCCCAACCCATCAGATTATCACCTACTCTCCTCTCCTTTAGGCGCACCCTGAAAACCCACCTCTTCAGGGAAGCCTACCCCACCCCCTGTTAACTTGCCGACCTCCTCCACTCTTCCCTACCACTCCATCCCCCACAGCGATCTCCTCCTGTGCCACCATCCCCTCCCTCCTAGATTGTAAGCTCGAAAGAGCAGGGCCCTCAATCCCCTCATGTTTTGCATTGTATTGGTATTGTTCTGTCACATGTTCTGTCCCCTTTTGTAACGTACAGCGCTGAGCGAACTATTGGCGCTTTATAAATACTGTATAATAATAATAAAAATTTTATATATATATATTCCTAAATTATTACAAGATAGAATGGGATTCACTTACTAAAGGCAAATAGCATGTTTACTTTGCAAGCCAACTTTATTTTGGTTTAGTCAATGAGGTGAAGCTCATTCCATCATCCAGTCATATGCAATTAAAATTTCTTTTTTTTTTTTTTTTTTTCCCTTGCACAAGATCTGGGGATCTTTGCAAAGTGAAATTACATCACATTCATTACGTTAAGGGAAAATTCCTTTTGCAAAGTAAAAATTACCTTGCAAACTGAACAGCCCATTCGCTTTTAGGAAGTCAATCCCAATGACTTTTATCACAGATAAATTGGTTGACATCTCTCTTTTTGCCTCCTGTTGTTCAGCTTTAAGTCTTTAAAAGAAAATCGTAGTTTCCCCACCCTCACCACAAGCCTTTCAGCGAAAGACATAACAGTCTCGCAGGGAATTGACATAAAGCGTCTTTTAATGCCTTTTAATGATTGTGTTTCAGAGTATTTCCAGTCGCAGCTGCTGTCATTTTTCTCCGAACCTGGATTACCACAACCCCGACATCCCCGAGTGGAGACAAGACATAAGCAGACTCATTAAGAGAGCTCTGATACAGGTACGTATTAATGGTGGCAGCTGAGGTCTGCCTGGGATATACTGTGTGCTGCGGGCCATGGAAGATAATGAAAAGAAGCTTACTCCGATGAGAAAGAAATATGGTGCCGGCTTGTTGTACAGGAAACGATAAAACAAGAGGCCTCTCGCTGGAATCAAGCCTCTGTGGTGTCATATGGGTCAGTACTATGTTATGCAAGTCAAGTCCCATGAAATCTGCCTTTCTTTACACACTACAGACAGACTTGGCAGAAATATTCTAAAAAAGTTTAAAATGACCAAAGTGGTAGCATGTAGCAATGTTTCTCTTTGATATATTATTGCAACATTGTATCTCTGTCATTACATTGTAGGGGGAGATTTACTAAAACTGGAGCAGACAGAATCTGGTGCAGCTGTGCGTGGGAGCCAATCAGCTTCTAGCTTCAGCTTGTTCAGTTAAGCTTTGACAGTAAAACCAGGAAGCTGATTGGTCGCCATGCAGAGCTGCTCCAGTCTTAGTACATTCCTCTCTATGTGTCCTGGTATAAAAAGATTTCCAAGTACAGTTAGCTGTGGGTAGTCAGCCCTACAAACTTTTATTACACCAACTATTTCAGTTCAAGAATGGCTCAGGGATCAAACGCATTTAGTTAGAGGTATTATTTATTTATTACAGGTACTTATAGAGTGCCGTCAATTTATGCAGCACTTTACATCAATGCCAAAATTTCACAATTTCTGCCAGGGTATGTAAACGTTTGAGCACAACTGTACATATATTGTACATTCACATCAGTCCCTAACCCTGAAGGGGTGTACAATCTAAGGTCCCTAACTCACATTCATACATACACATACTAGGGACAATTTAAACAGGATCCATTAACCTACCAGCATGTCTTTGGAGTGTGGGAGGAAACCCAGAGTACATGGAGGAAACCTACACAGGCACAGGGAGAACATTCAAACTCCAGGCAGGTGGTATTGTTGTTGGGATTCAAACCAGTGACCCTAGTACTGCCAGGCAGAAGTGCTAGCCATTTAGCCACGGTGCTAAATGGGTTTCCATGCTGTGGTTGGGATTTGAACCAACGACCCTAGTGCTGCCAGGTGGAAGTGCTAACCATGGCAGTATGCACAGCAGGGATTTCAAAAGGCTGTATCTCTGAAAGGGCAACTCACTTATTGCATTATATTTACCACCTGCTGTTCTTATTTCCTGGAATTCTTTTTTAACCGCGTTCTGCCACCACTTCCCAACCCTTTTTAAGAGGATCTAAATGCTGGGAGGCGGAGGAAAGCATTCTGATCATTTAACTGCTGTGATTGGCTGTCACAGTGGTCATATGATTGGAAAGTTCTCGATTGCAAGTATGCATTGGGAGTTCTCAGCAGGGGCGGACTGACCATTTGGAAACTCGGGCACTGCCCGAGGGCCCGTGGTCAGTTGGGGGCCCCATGAGATGCCCCTGGTACCTTTTTCATAGGCTTATTTGAGTTTGGGCAAGAACACAGGGGCCCCATGATCCCCTATTGCCCAGGGGGCCACATGAGTTGTCAGTCCGCCCCTGGTTCTCAGTGACATATTAGTTACTGTGCTGGGAGCATGTTCTCAGCACCTAAACTCTTTACTTATAGATGTATATATACGCTAAAGCCAAGCTGCCAAGAGGTCGCATATATGCGGCCAGTCAGCATGAACAGGTTAATACAAGGACTGTACCAAAAGTAATGCTAAAGTGGGCATAAGTTATTTTTTTATTAACTTGCATACTGTAGTTCATTCAAATTTCACCTTATGGTAGAGTAACTCTTCCTCTCTTCTTCTTTTTCCTTGAAGGTAAATAATGGATTCTAAGCAGAAATATGCTGCCATTGAGTTCTTGATGAGGGAGGGGTGCAGGTTCTTCGATATCCACAGAAGGCTACAGAATGTTTGCGGAGATAACACCATTGACAAGAGCAATGTCTTATCATTGGTGACTCTTGTCAATGGTGTCATCTCCCTAAACATTCTGTAGCCTTCTGTGGATATCGGAGAACCTGCACCCCTCCCTCATCAAGAAGTCAATGACAGCTTGTTACTTCTGCTTGGAATCCATTATTTACCTGCAATGAAAAAGAAGAAAAAGGGAGGAACATGAATGATCTATTAAGTTAATAAAAAGTTATGCTCACTTTTGCAATACTCAAATTTAAAGCAGAACTCCAGTAACTCCCCACTGCATGGATCGGCTGCTCATTTTTTCTAGAGGTGAGGACAAAGCTCATACTTACCTGACCCACAGATCCTATGGAAAACAGTGCTCCCCCATGGTCCAGGGGTGGACTGTTCCTGTCTGTGGAGCATGTCTTGAGTGTTCTGATGTCAGGAACAGCCCATTTGCAAGACCGCTGGACCATGGGGGGGAGTAGCCTACAGGACCGGTCTTGTACGGGGAGAATCGGTGGGCTAGGTGTATATCTTCAGTGTTCTCACCCCTAGAATAAAATGAGCATTTGGCCAATGCATTGCTGGCACAGCCCCATTGCATGGGCCGAATTTTTCTTTTTCCGGATTTCTACTTTAACATTCCCCTGTGCCCAGACTATGGATATTAAAGCTTTAAAGATGTAATTTTAAAAATAAATTCTGCTTATTATTTGCCTTTCCTGGTTCCTTCTTTCCACCCAATCATTAGCATGCTAATAAATTTATTTCATATAGGCTTTCCATTTTCATTACATACCTTTTTTATAGATCCAGTCATGTCATCACTAAATTTCTGTGCTTCCCTATGCAATGCAAGCAGATCATGGTCAGTGGGAGGGTCCAGTAGAGTGCTGTGCATAGCTTCCTGAAAACAGGAAGCTATGGTAATGCCAACATGTGATGCTGAGCCTCCATGAAAGAACTGGAGTTCAATGAATGAAAGGGGTGGGCCTGGGGCAGTCAGGCTGGGAAAGAAAGTGCTAGATGATGTCATATGTCCTTCGTCCAGGAAATGGGGCGGGCTGTATCTGATTTGCTGCAGCTTATAATGTACATTGTGAGCAGCTCAAAGTGTGCGGTGAAATCAGAGTAAGCCATTTCAGTACAGGAGAAAAGTCTGTGCCAATGTGCAAGACTAACGGGAAGGCCGGAGTTCAGCTTTAACAATGCAGATGTTTTTAAGTTGTAAAAGAGCTTTAAGGCTCCATGCACACTGGGCTTTAAAAAACGCTAGTTGCCTTGGCAGGAGGAAGAAAAAACCCCCACTTATATAGAGTTTTGGAGAGTTTATGAGCTTTTAACCTCCTCGGCGGTATGATTCTTTCTGATTTTTTGTGCTGAAAGCGGGTACCATTTTTTTGCATGGAAATATGTAGTTTTTTATTGTAGGCTGTAATTCTTAGGAATAACTCACTGAAATCTGTCCGAACAAGAGTCTAGTATACATCCCGGGTATGATAAAATTTGAAACACGAAATCATAAATTATAATTTAATAAATAATCATAAAAAATAATATATATAATAATATTACATTTAATTCAATAATATAATCAAACCAAAAACACTGAAATTTGAAATACAGAGGCAAATTCGCACATCGCTGAGCAAAGTCGCAAAATCGTTTTCAGTGTCTGATGACAAATTTCCCCACCAATCATTATCACTCAATTCTGCAAGTGGTTCTGATTTACTATCGCTGCTCTAAAACCGCTTTTGACGTAAAGGGACACTTTTTGGACGCCATGGACTTTTCTAAGTTTATTCAAAACATTCAAAATGCAGGCAGGGGACAGGACAAAGCAGTAGGGACAAAATGTATGTGAAATGCATTGAAACAGCAATGACAGCAAAAATTAAATTTTTTAAAAATTTCAAATTTCCCGCCGGTTCCGGCGCCCGTACGTCCCGACGTCACAGGGACCGGAACACAGAAGCCGGATGCCGGCATTGGCCGGAATAGATGGCCGGGGACGCTGCAGGGGACACATCGCGGGAGCAAAGGACAAGGTAAGTGCTGCAGGGACCCCCAGAGCAGCGCCGCATTGTAAGCCCGAGTGTAGCTCGGGGTTACCGGTTTTGGTATAGAAATTTTACCCCGAGCTACACTCGGGAATACCGCTAAGGAGGTTAAGACAGTTTTGGAGCATTCCATTTTTTTCTGCCAAAAATCAGCTCTCAAAAACTCAAAACAGAAGGGTTTTTTTTCTGCCTTTAAACTCTGAGCTTAATGCATGGAAATATAGGATAACATTGAGCTGCTTCTACAGGCAAAACACTAGACTCCTCTAGGATCAGCATTTTTTTTTAAGCCAGTGTGCATGGATCCTGAAACAAGCCATTTCCTCTCCATGTACTGTGAAGTAATTCATCAGGAAAGATCATTAAAAATTGTTTGCCATTGTTTTTAAGGGTTCTAGTTTACACATATGCAGCACATTGACGATATCTTTTATTTTATAGATTCCTATCCTAATATTTATCAGTGGTTCCAAATTAATAATCACTAGGGAGCAGACACAAGGATAAACCCAGCATCTTTCCAAATAACTTTTCTGTTTATTCAGTCCCTTTTAAAGTTTTTTATATAACAATGTTTATGAAGGCATAACATTAATAACTACCATTTTTACGTAGGCTGGTTTCTTACCAGGGTCTTAGGAATGTGAGTACGTGGCAGAAGAGGGTATAATAAGAACGATGGCTGCAGTGGACAAAGCATATATTACAAAATAAAATAAATGTATGTACAGAGTTTAAAATTTCTTTCACAACGACATTGGCCAAAATAGGTCATGTCCATTTTTAATGCATCTGTAAAACACAAGGAATTTACTTACGAACGACCACAAATGTCACCACATTATGAAACAGGTCAGCTGATTGTCAACCCTGTTGATTTTATTTTGCTCGCTGTATTTCTGTTGGAGAGACTTTTTTAGTGTAGCACCCTCCCAGTTAGGCTGCTAGGTAAATTTAGTCTTGACTCCTCCTGTAATTAGAAGAGCAATGGTTGTTTGTTCTGGTCTGTTCAGGGATTCATAGGCT